CCACGCTTCACGGACTCCAGGCCAGCCCAGAAGTGGGGACTGTGTCACGGCCGTCACGGCATTTTTGTGAAGTGGGCCGCACACACTGGTCAGGCTTGTGCAGGGTGGGGCGGGCTGCATCCTAAAGTTCTCACTGGACGCAAAGAGCGTTTGGGCCAGTTCAGTGCAGGTCCTGACTGAGAAACCCTGTACTATTATGAGTTATAACTACGTTCCCCCCCATCCTTCCCCGATAAAGGTTTGGCTGTTTTGTGTGGTGTGTGCATGTGTGTCTCTCTAGTTACCTGATTCCTGGCCAATCCTGGGGCCGTCTGTTCGTCCCTGGGCTGACAATGACGAGTTTCATTCCATGTCCTCCAGGAAGCCCCATAGAAGGCGCTTTTAGTTACTGAGGCTGTCATGTACTTACATGCCGTGGCCAGGAAAATAAGACAGTCATTTCTGTCATTACTTTATAAAAAGCTTCTAAGGAAATAACCATGCTGCACAAAGTCTGAACTTTGAAGTTACAATGTATATTTATCTGTTTACTACTCAAAAAATCTTGTAGGTCATGATGGAGACTTCCGAGCAAAGCTTACAGGAAAAGTAAATGATATAGTTGAAGACGATGCTCAGAGGAGCTACTTGTGAAGGAGCATGTCAGTGGTTTGAGTATTAATAATACTGTCTGAAGGGTCAGATTTATTTATCGGATTCAGAATTCCAATCCATGAGGCTGAACATGGACAAGATGGAAACAGGTCAGAACAGGATGTGCTCACAGAGCGAGGCGCCCTGTCTACCGGGACTGGAACTGAGAAAGCAGGGAATTGAGGAGAAATCGGGGCTGATGAGAACGGGCAGGACTTGTCCGCGCTCAGGAACCTGTTCCCAGGAAGAGAGCCGAGTGCTAACGAGGAAGCCACGCTGACCTCACACACTTGCAGAGCGGACTGGTCAGCGGCTTAGAATTCTGTGGACACAGAGCCGCCCAGGACACTCCAGAAACCACATTCAGAGCAGAAGACAGCTCCACCCACAGCCACTGGGAAGGGACCGGAAGACACATGGTGTTGGGCTGACACAATCCAGTAAAATATAGGACACTAATGCACTTGAGGTTTACTGGTTTCTAGAACCTCCATTGTGTTTGCTGATAATCTAGTGGATGCAAACGCTTCGCTTCTGTGACCCCGGCCAACGCCAGTTGACAAGGTCAGACTGATTTTTAGTGTTTCCCTTGGCTATGCCGGTATCGTAATCAGCATCGGTTTAACCTCCCGGTTGTCACAGTAGTTGTGCTCGGACACCACTCCCCAGCCCGTCCCTGCTCTCCCCTCTCCCCGCAGCTGGTTCCTGAGGCTTACCCTCCCATCTGAGTGGCAGAGGCAGGGAAGCGGGCTGCCGTAGGACAGAAAGCCCTGTCTTCCGTGTTCGGAGCCATGAAGTGGTTTCAGCACCAGCTTTCGTGAGGGGGCGTTGATTCTTCCCCAGCTCACGACGCCGAGGAATCCGAGCAGCAGAGAAACCCACTCCGCTCACCCCCACGCCCGCACACCACACAGCACTGCTCACGTCTTTCCGTGCCGCAGGAGAAGCCGTGTTCACGTTTTACTGGAAACCTGCAGAAGTCTCCTGTGTGGCTTCCCGTCTTCGCCCCAAGTCTCCTACCGCTCCTTCTCAGCAGTGGGCAGAGGAATCAACATACAGTGGAAATCATATCCTACATCAGATGAGGCAGAAGACGCCCAGGTCCCTCCTGACACCTACCTCGTGTCACTGGCCTCTTTGTCGGGGACACACTCTCCCAGGCACGGTTGACCTCTCATTTTTCAGGCCTCAACGAAATTGCTGCTTTTTCAGAGAGACCTTCGTAAGCCTCGTAGCCTGTCCTGTTGAAATGCAGGTCCCCAATGGTAGTTCCGAGAGTAACATATGCCATAATTATGTCTGCACCACCAGTAACAATTTGCAATTAATCGTTTGATTGATTTGCCATGGGTATCACTTGTGTGCCTAAAAAGAATGTAATCTCCATGAGAGCAAGAAACGTGTCAGTTTCGTTTGTCAGACGCTTAATTCCAGAACCTTACAGAGCTTACTTAGTGTCTCTGCCTCTTGTTTTCTTTCCCTATTTGTAAAATAGGGTTAATGAAGGGACCGTGGGGAGATTTAAAGGGCTAACTCAGGTGGTTTTGTATGTTTTCATTACTATCTGTGCCGCTCTTCCTATACCAGTGAAAGACGTGGACACTTCCCTTCCTGGAATTTTGAACTCTAAAAGAAACAGTTACTTACACTGAAGGAGGAAGGCTTGGAACCTTTTAGGATTTTCTTTTTCTTTTTTTTTTTATCCATTTGTTTTATTTTCACTTACAGAAATTGTCATGTTTACTCCCACTTTAGTCAAGATTACATGTTGACAGGCTGTGGCTAGACAACTGCACTCTTTCAGCCACGGGAAGGTTGGCTCCGTGTAGGTAACTGGCACCCACGGAGGAGAGTCCATGCTCCCCACCCCCGGCTGTGAGCTTGTGTCACTGGCGGCCTGTCACGTGCGGCCATGAGACGTCCCACTGTAAGTGTACTGGGAACCGCAGGGCCTGTGTAATGGTGGGTCCGGGTACCAGGGGTGTCCCTTACCATCAGGAAAACTGAGGCTCCGTTGGAACAGGGCGTTTGGGCGGAGCTTCCCGGATGGCTTGCGGACGGGATGGGGGGCTGCTGGAGGCTCACGGGGCACAGGACAGACGGAGACAGGCGTGGAGAAGTGGAGGCGGTGCCGGCGGCTCAGAGGACGGGACTCGGGGAAGCAGCTGCGCCTTTCGTTACTGGGAAACGTGGAGGCTCCGTGGTCCCTGGAGGCCGGGAGACACTGACCTGTGGAGCGCCCACGAGCAGTGTTCATTGAGCTCCCACTGTGCCTGGCGCCGACTGAGCTCGTGGGTGTCTGACACAGTGTAGTGACAGCAGCGTGAGGCAGGCATTACGCATTGGGCAGGTGAGGGCAAGGATTCGAGGGTGAGATGACCTCACGAAGCAGAGCTGTGACCACAGGGCAACGTCAGAGGCTGACCACGGGGTGACATCAGGTGCTGTCTTGGACCTTAGCCCGACTGCAGAGACTGGAGACGGAAGGGGGCAGGGTTAGCAGGTGGTGGTGTTTCAAAAGCCCAAGGAAGATACAGTGAGGCCTGCTAAAGTGGGGGGCAGTTGGTTGGGGGGAATAGACTGTTTGATCTTTATTAGATTGACCCTAAGAAAGCATCTAATGTGTGCCCACCCCGACCCCCCAGTGTAAACTAAAGTACCTTCCACCCCCATCACCACCCGCTCGGGACCCCTTCCGTGGCATTTATCACGAGTTGTGATGTCACACTGGTGTGACTGCCTACTTAACACCGGTCCCTCTCTAGGTAGTAAGGCACAAGGTTTCTGGGCCTGCTTGACCGCCCAGGGCTGGCGCTTCTGCAGGAAATATTTACTGCATTTAAGGGGGGATGGCGGCACGTAAATGCAGACCAAGAGATCAGAGGGAGGAAATTTAGCGTGTGGGGTTGCCGTGGGGAGGAGAGTGGGGAGGTGGACCTTTTAAAAACCTATTTCAAGACACAGAGGCTCGGCACCGTGCATTAATAAAATACGAAAGCCAGGAAAAGGAACTTGCTAGAACAGGGTGTGTTACGTTTTATTGTCAGGCTATATGCCATAGTATTTACCAATATGCTGATCTCATTCACTCTTTTTAAAAATATTTAGTTCTTTTTGAGATGTTTTATATATGTGCATTTATATTTCATGTAACTGAGTCAAACTAAGCGGTCTTTTTTAAAAAATCCTGTTTCTATTTAATTCATAATATTTAAACAAATTTGGCCCAGATCATACCCAGTATAACTGTAATCTTAAACTACTGACTATATAGCTTATCGACCTGTTAGTTTGTTGGTCATTTTTTTACCTCTTTTTTTTTTCTTTAATTAAACTAATTTTAGGAGAGCCCTCTTGATTCTGGGGGAATAAATAGTTAGGGTCACAAGCTTTGAAGCAACGGCAGCCTCCATGACGAATGCTGCACAGACACTATCTAAACCTTGGTGCTTTGCCCCCTTACCGCATGGAAGGCAGTGACCGCAAGCTGGCTGCTGAACACCCCCAGTGTGAAGTGGGGTTCTCATTTCCTTCAGAACAAATAAGACCTCTTTAAAACTTTATTAAGTTTTTAAAAAAGCATCTGAATGAATAGGCAAACGGAAAATCCCAAGGAGCTGGCGTCCTGCCATGCTGCCTACGGGGACATGGGGCCCGCAGGGGAGGGTTGGCAGGGCCGGGGGGTCTGCTCCTCCCATCAGAGCGTGCTGACCCTGTCTGCGGACAAGAAGCCCACAGAAACGAGAGGCACTTCTGCCACATTCCGAGGCTCTTCTTTATGAAAACGGCTATTGTCCACCTGTCCTCCCCATTCATACCCCAAGCTTTGCTCTCAACAGCCTATAAAAAACACATTGCTCTTCAGTGTGTAAAGTAAACCCCAAGCTTTCAACTCAATAATTATGCCTTGAAAAATGATAGGGGAGGTAGCCCTGTTAGATAAGATGCTAAACTGCAACTCACACAGAGCCATCGTCCTACCCCTTACCTGCAAGCGCAGGACTTGTCAACATCCAATAATTCTGAAAACGTTTCCTCAAGAAAATAAGTATAATAACCCAGAATTCAAGAAATCTGACACAGAAATGAAAAGTGGTTTTAGCACTGGGTTAGAGAACTGCCTCTCAGTAATGTAGAGTGTGCTTAGGACTTGACTGTTTCTTAATTGGGTAATCTTTAATAAAAATAATAACAGTGGTAACTATAACACCTAGCGTAAGAATACCGCATACCAGCACCCATCCAAAACCCCAAAAGCAGCAAAGCTCATGTTATTTTGTTTTACTCATGCATACACATTTGAAAGAGGCTTCCCAAAGCTTCGTATTTATTTTTCTAAAATCATGTTAATTTCTTATTTATTTCAGGCATTACTAGAGACTCAAAATTTACTGCGCACTCAGGTTGCAAATTTTACCTTCAACCTTGGATTTTCAGGGAAGTTTTACCACACAGGTAAGAAGGGGCTTCGTGTTCTCAGGCAGCTACATGTGACTAGGAGCGCAGGTTTTAAATGCATCCTAAGTAGGCGAATGGAGTATGCAGGCTGGTTATGGGGAGAATGTGGGCGCGTATGTGAGTAGCAGAGCCCAGAATCAGTGAGCCGTTTGCTTTGGCAAATACTGTGGGAATCCAGGTGAAAGGAGGAAGAGAACGGGCTTTTTCAGTAGAAGAACCTGTAAGCACTGCGCTAAGTGTGACCGTGGGTCTCCTGCCCGCACATAGAGCGAGTAGGGAGCATAGTGACGATGATGACGGTGACAGTGACACTATACGAGTAATAATCATGGACACTGTTTTTAAATTGTCAGATAGTCGAGGTGACAGGCAGTTTTGTACCCGTTATTTTCCTTTGGAAATCATCCATTGATGAGAGAGATTTTATAGCCTCAATGGAATGTAACAGATTTTAAGGGCTATCCTTCTTAATTTACCTCCCCTTGCAGGATTTTCCCCTAAACTCATGATCAGGGATTTCGCCCAACACACACAGAGACCATCACAGTCAGGCTTGTCCATCTTGTGTCTGTCCAGCCAGCCAGCCAAAGGCGCAGCCACTGCACACAGTCTCAGAACCTGGCTGGTATTCAGATAACTCTGGGTCCAGTATTCTCACCTTGTCATCCACCTTCACCTCCAGAATTGTCAGAACACTGGCATATGATGCCTGGCACCAGCACAGAGAAAACCATATGCACAGAAGCGATTATCCTGTAATAATGGCAAAAACTCCCCGAAAGGTGTGTTGGAGCCTGCACGGCCCACAGCCTACCACCCCCCTTCCCCCCATTTCTGCGTCCTGGTGTCAGCCAGATGCTCCACTCAGGACTGCAGTTGTCACAGCACAGTCAGGACATTCCACCGTGTCATCCTGCAGGCGTGAACTTTGCGGAGTCCTTAAAACCACCCCACGCAAAGGTGTCTCCAGTTATGGCCAATGCAGCTCATTTCCCCTGAGAGACTCGGCGTGACCTCGCAGAACATGGGAGCAGTGATGCCTCGCAGGCTTCCTCAGCCCCTTGCCCTCCTGCTTGGAAACACGCAGATCTGTTTCAAGTCATAGAAGGGAAAGTAGTATTTAAATGAGTTGGTAAATCAAATCACTGCATATTTGAGAAGGGCACTTTGCAGAAAGCGATTTGGGTCATCGTATCTGCAGACGCAAAGCAATCCCAGCTTACAGTTTGAAAAGCGGCATGGTTTTGTAAATCTTCTCAAAGCCCCCGGGAGACATGAGTTCAGGCCGAGAAGTGCTGACGATGGAAGTCATGAAGCAGACACTGCGGCTGGACCGACTCACGCAGGGAAAAGCATGGGACCGTTTGGAGTTCACACGCAAAATTACCGCTTTGTCTTAAAGCGCTGTGGCGTGTGAGCAGAGCCGTGCCCTGGGCTGAGGTGTGCCTGGGTAGGCGCCTCCGCTCTGGCTCACTTTTCAAGCCCAGGCCCATTACACCTGCCTGGCCTTCCCGAGTTCATGTTGATGGAAGGAGCACACACCTCCACTCCCCTTTGTAATCCTGGTCAGGTGCACAGCGCACACCCACTAGGAAGTGAAGGGCATGATGGTCAGGTGCACAGCGCTGCTTATCGAGGCGGGCACAAACTTACATTTAATGACACCCCTTAAACGGACCTTGTGGACTCTTTACACTGATAGTGACCTAACAAAAGTTTTGGGAGAAGCGCCCTTCCGTCCTGCGCTTTAGAGGCCAAGTGACTCATAAGCATGTGCGCCCCAGGGGCTAACTTCCGTCACATAAACAACAACGTCAGCTGATTGGCTGCTCGAGGAAATGCACCTGTGGCGTTTTCCCACGGTGCCATCGTGCCACCTGAGTGCCTTTTCATTCACTGAGAGCAGTTACACGTGGGACCGCCCACTAGCGAGGGCGCACCTGCTCCCTGTGCAGTCACGGCCCCACCTGGACCGTGGGCTGTAGAGGAAAGCGCTGGCCCCACAGGTGCACCCATGTAACGGTGAGGAGGCGGCCTTGTCACAGGCCTGCCTGCCCGGCGCAGCAGGAGCTGGGCGATACGCCTCCTTGTCCTGAAGACACTGACTCACACACCCGCGTAGCAATGGCACACCCCGCCTTCCTCACGCTGCCTCGCTGTCTGTCCCGCAGGCGTTCTTTACTGTTAGCTTCTCAGTCCTTCTCCGCTAACATCAGCCTCCTCCCAAAAGCACATGTCGCCAAGCCTTCCCTACCAGTTCGTCACTCAAAGGGCCAAAGTGCAGGAGGAAAGACATATCACTGATTAAAAGGAAGCAATAAAAGTGTGGAGTTTGGAGAGCCACGTTGTCATCTGGAAATGGTGACGCTTGATTGAAATTGCACAGTGACAGCTCAGCTGAAAAATGGAGACATTCTAGCATGGAGACGCCTTCTAGGGCGGAAAGGCTACAAATGCTATTTTTTGTAGGACAGGATTCTGGGACAATCATGGCCATTCTTTCTAATTAATAATACGTTGGCTATGGCTCAGTTACTTTATGAATAATATTTGAAAATTGGATTCATATTGGCCTTTTCCGTGAGAGTTCATCTTACAAAAAATGGCCCTTTATATATAATGATTACCTTTCAAACATGAGAGTAAACACAAAGTATTACATTTCTTCTCTTTCATTTGCTTTTGCTTTTCTGGGTAAAGTATTATCTTAAAGACGAGATATTGGAAGCAGACAGCTTTTGTTCAGACCCCCAGGCCCTGGCACATCACTCGCTGTGCAAACATAGCAGGTTATTCACCTTTCTGTGCCTCAGTCTCTGCATCTCCAAAATGGGCATGAAAGCACCATCTCTGTCATCTAGAACAGCTAAGTGCTATGCCAGTGTTTATCATCACCGCCTTTAAAAGGACTTTTGTATATGAATCAAATGTTAACAAAAATTAAACAACCAATTCGCAGGGTTCTATTTTTCTAATTTTGGAACTATAGGTAGCTTTTAATTAATTTTCATCCCAATTCCATTCTTTTTATTTAATAAAGAGACCATGCCAAGTTCAGTTTACAAAGACAGCTGGACCTGGAATTATAATATTCATATACAATGGACAAATGTAATGCAGATATTTGTACAAAAGTGATAATGAAGACCCTGGAATTTTATATATCTTACTTTAATGTTACAACATGCCTTATGGAGATTAACCTGTAGCCCAGATCTTGCTAAAATTACTATTTTGGCAGATTTAACTTTAGAAGCGTAGCATTATCTCAGCACAGAGCCCCCAAACGTGATAAGGAAAAAGGGAGCTCCTCAGTGTTTTCTGAATTAAAACACTTTATTTTCTGGGAATCCAAAAAGTAAAAGGAAGTAACTTTCAAATGGAACCAAAATACTCTATTTTTAATTACTAGTGATGTGGATTTGAATGCAGATCAGGGAAGGAGTGAGGCTCAGTCTGAACACAGACACTTTAATGGCCTGTGACATGTTAAATAGGGATGTGGGGGACTGCAAATTATATTCTCACAGGTAATTTAAGGATACTTTAGGTACAAAACGATATTTACAGGGAGGCAAACTTCCATATTGTCGTTGGTTGGCTTTGAAAACATTCGAAATTCTGCTTTGCAAGTCAAGCCCCTCAGCAGGTCTTGGATCATGTTTTCCATTAAGCTATTTCTGGTGTCATGAAAAATCTTGCTTCCTGTGGCTTTGAGTTACCTGAACTGCATAAAACAAGAGAAAGGCTGGCAAGACATTAATCTACAAAGGGAAAGAGACAGAGGCTCTTACTGTCACCCTCGACCTTGCAGGGAGCATTTCTCAATTAACACAATCTCTAGTATAAAAATTAGTGAGATTTTAGATGGTAATGCATCTGCTTTTATCAATATTCAGCAAATTTTTCTTTAAATTCAATAATCGACCTCCTTCCTGGCCAAGTATGCATTATGTGTTTCCCGACACTTCCAATGGCAATCAGCAGAGTTTAATGGGAGTGGAAGCGTTTCTCAAACATTCTAGATTCAAAGTACAAGAGAAGGATGGGAACAGTATCCGTTCACTCATCTCATGTGACAAAGTACTCTTCCTAATCTACACCTCAGTCAGCTACAGCATGGCCACGAGAAGCACTGTCTATAGCAAAAGCACCTCAGGCTTAAAACCCACCTGAGGAAGTGATAAACCTGTCTTCATTTGCATTTCAGTATTTGATATTCTTAATACATTCATAAAAGTCAATGAACTCTAAGTCTGTAGCACAAGTTAACAAATGGTAAAAATTCTGTCTGTTCATCTTATCCCTAGACCTTCATCACTTCCAAAACTTCTTTCGTCTTTGCATAGGAGCAATTGTTATCACAATAATAGTGCCCAAACTCTGACCCAGGTGGTCCTTTTGCGAACTATGGATTATAGGCTGTGCCCCAGGAATGGTGCATGTATATAAACACACACAAAGCTGGCATGCACTGAGCAGACATGACACACGAAAGTCACCGACTTACCGACTGAGTTATATTACTCACTTATTCATGGCTCAGAAGTGGCAAGATACAGCACAGGCTCGAGGGGTCCAGTCCCTGAGTTTAAGAAACTAATAACTAAGCAGGCAATGTCTGAAGAATGTGAGAAAATATAGCAATTTAGAACACCACAGGTATAAACCGGTAGATATTATTTTTAAGAAGAAAGAGATCCTAATATTTATGAAGTTATTACTAACTGCAAGTCACAGAGTTAAGTGCTTTTGTCAGCTGGTCTCTCTGACTCTTCACAGAGACCCTGTGAGATAGGCATTTACGTCCCCATTTTCAAACCAGGAAACAGGGACTCAGGGAAGCTGCTTGTCCAAGATCACAGGCAGTCAAGCAGATGGCAGGAGGGGCTCTAACCCAGGTGCTGATGGACCCCGATTACACGCGTTAACCATTTCACAGCACTTCTATCAATCAGTGAGCTCTTTACTACAGGACACCTACTGGAACATTTGCCGAAGATGCCTTCAAAAATACTTTTAATATTTATTTGCTTAATTTAAGGATATAAAATCAGGTAGCCAACTGTAAATCACACCCCGTTTTGAAAAACTAAAACAGATAAATAGAACCTCACACTGTAAATCTAGATGTATTTTACTTCATGTATTTGTGTATCTAGAGACTAAATAGGAATCAATCCTTATGTTATTGATTCAGAACATTTTGAAATTAGACTGAATATTGTAAAACCGTACAAGAACTGTACAATTGTCAAACAGTGAAAATGTTCCTGAATGGCTGCAGCATAGAGAATTCCCTAGCATCAAGTCGTTCTTTTTCTTTCTTTTTTCACTTTGGCATGACAACTGCTTTTTCTATGCACTGAGCACTGTTAACAAATGTTCCTAATAGACGATGAGAAATTAATACTAGTTTAAATGCTCAAGTTGGGTTTCTATTGTGTTAATAGATTCAGTGTTTACATTTTACGAAATATTTAGATCAAAATGGGAAATGTTTATATTCATGATGTTAACTCAAAACCATAAAGACACAAAAGTATTTATACAGTATGAGCTCAGCTTTTAAAAAAAATAGGTAGAAAAAGATTTAAAAGGAAGATACCAAAGTGTTTCCACTCATTCATTCTGAAAGATGGCCTCTGTTTTTGTTTTGTGTTTGAGCTTTATATATCAGTAGTCTGTGTTTCCTACATTTCCTCAATACACATATATTATTTCTGTAACCAGAAAAGAAATTAACAAACTTCACCAGTTCAATGTTCAGCTCAGCGTTAGACTTATAGCAGGAATGTTTTTAAGAGTAAAAGGGACAAAATCATTTCTGATTAGGCTTCCCTATTCATGCCTTAAGGGAGAGAATTATCAGTTGATAATGTTAAAACAAAACAAACCATCTAAAACTAAGTGTGTTTCGTTCCTACCATAGCGAGCAGATCCCAACTGTGACAGTGACAAAATGCCCGCGGTCCGGGTTGAGGGCTGTCTGCGCAGGACGCCCCCCGCCCCTCCCGCCAGGCCTCTGATGTCACGCAGGCCAGGGTCACCCTGTATCAGAGCTACACAGACTTGGATCTATGTGTCAGGGGTAAGGAGAGTGAGAGACGTGACCCGTGAGCTACCAGGAACCCACTGACAGCTTTGGCCTTGCGTTTGCCAGGCACGGAGGACGAGGACGCGGGCGACGACCTCCTGCTGCGCTCGGCGGCCGAGTTCTGGTGGTTCCCGCACATGTGGAGCCACATGCAGCCCCACCTCTTCCACAACGAGTCGGCCCTGATGGAGCAGATGGCTCTCAACAAGGACTTCGCCCTGGTGAGTGCTGCTCGCCGTGTCATCGCCCAGAGTCGTGGTCCTGCAGGGTGTGGGTGTGGGGACGCGACACAGGGGACTTCAGAACGCGTTGCAGGCGTGTGAGTGTGAGAGAGAGTGTGTGTGTGTGTGTGTGTGTGTACATGAGTGTGTGTATGTGTGAGCGTGTGCGTGTGTGTGTGAATGTGTGTGTGTGTGTGTACGTGTGAGTGTATGTGTGTGAGTGTGTGTACATGAGTGTGTGTGAGTGTGAGTGTGTACAGCGCCGCGAGGTGTTGCCAAATGCATTTCAATGAGTACGTCACTGTCAGGAAGTCGCCCTGCCCTGTTTTTGTGGGAGGCCGTGCTGACACTTATGGAGAGGAGAGCGGGTACCTACACTGTATTCTCAGGTGTGTTGTAATTCACCTCCAAAAGCGTTTGATGCAGAGATAGTGGGATGGACGGAGTGGATCATGAGAGCAGAGGCACTAGACAGGGGTCTCCAGGCCTTAGCGGCTCCTGGTCACCTGAGACACTCAAACCCCGTGGCTGGGCCCGCCTCAAGGTTCTCATTCCGTAGGTTGTCAGAGAGCCTGAGACTTTGCATTTCTAATGTCTGATGATGGGCATCACCCTAAAAAAGAGAGACCAAAGTGACAGGCAGCAAGCATTCCTTTGAGACCCAAGGAGACCCCACTGGTTCAGGCAGAAGCCCACAGGGTGCTGGGATGAGGAGTCGGAGGGCTGGCATGTCAGAGACAGGGTAGGGACGATGACACCAGCAGAAGGAGGGTGTCGCTCCAGCTGCAGATCAGCTGACACAGTGATGCTGGCTGCAGTCCGCACTCAGCGGTCGGCACAGTCATCACACCAGCGTCCTCTGGTTCTGTGCACACACGGCCGTCCTGACTAAACCCCCCACGCGTTTGAGGAGGAAGCCGTGTGAGGCCCCAACTCTGGGTGGCTGCTTGGGCTCCGCTCTAAAGGCACTCTGTGTAGAGTCCTGTTTCCCTGTGCCTGCGGCTGGGACAAAAAACACCACTGTGGCCAGCCAGGGTGACAGTCTACGGCCCGCAGGCCACATCTGGCCTGCTGCTGCCTGCTAATTGTCTTTGAGCTAAGATAGTTGTGTTCTTTATGTTTTTTTACATTTTGAAATGACTGAAAAATAATCAAAAACACTGTAATAGTCTGTGACATAAAAATTAAATAAAATCCAAGTTGCAGTGTCCATACATAAAGCGTTATGGCACACTGCCACGTCCCCATCTGTACTGTCACTGCTGTTTGTGCAGCAGCAGAGCTGAGTCATTCCAGAAGACACCATCTGGCCACAAACCCTAACATAGTCACTGTCTGGACCTTTACCAAGGAAGGTCACCTACCCTTGCTCTAGAAATTAAGTAAACCACGCCTCCCTGTCACCATCTAATGAAAGAAAAATTCCCCCAGAGAAACGCTCAGATGCAGTTTCTCAAGCCTCACACAGTGGGGCCCGTGCTCACCGGCTGTGCGTCACCACAGACCCTGGCCCTGGGAAACCTCAGCCTTACACAGTTGTCGTTTCGAGCAAACAGACCTTGCACGGTGTGGCTGTGCTGTGTCTGGCTGTGGAAAGGTCAGGTCAGGAGACACAGACCCAAGGCCGGTGAGTCCTGCAAAGTCTATGATGATGTTAATGGCGCACCACACTCTCCGTCCCTGAGTCCCCAACCTGTGTCACCTCTGCATGGAGGACCCTCACCGCTCGTGTGGGCAGCACAAGCAGCAGTTAAGGTGAGGGGTGTGAGCACCACCATGCCTGGGTTTGCATGCTGACTTCCATCCATGACTGCTTATCTTAAAAATCACTCAGCCGCCCTGTGCCTCAGTTTCCCCATCTGTAAAAACAAGGATAATAGTAACAATTGCCTGCTAGGATTGCCTTCAGGATGCAAGTAACGTGCTCAGAGCACTTCCCGGCTGACAAGAGCATTCAATACGTATCAGTTAACCAGCGAGCATCTTCCTAAATCCAGACGACTATGCGGTTATATCTTGCTTTAAAAAAGCCAAATATTTTCCAAAATGTGGATTTACAGGAGGTCGATCTTCTCTTATTCATAGGGAATGTCTAACAAATTTTGTACTGCTTCAGAACCTTGTAAAATTAAGTAAATACTCACTTTTCAAAACCTCAACTTCCCTTGAGGAAACCTGCTGTATTCTGTCAGCATCGTTACCTTGAGAATAAACCAGCTCTCCCCAACTCCAAAGCCTTGCTTTGTAGGCGCATGGGTTGTGTTTCATAATGGTTGCTTTCCCCTGCTTCTGGAATTTATTTTTTTAAAGCCACGCAGAGACCACTGGGAAGACTCAGGCAGAACTGCTTCCTAATGAAATGTTGAAAGCTAGTTCAGGTCATTCACTTACATTGGTTAAGTCAGTGTGGCTAACGGCTAGGCTGAAACCTATAAATACATTTTGTAAAAATCAAAAGTCTGATTATATGTTGCATAGTCAAAATAGTACAACTAAAACGAAGTCCATTAAACACAGATTTGAAGTGACATGGTCCTTCTCCTGGAGTTTAGCCCCACAAACCTCCTCAGGACCCTTCGAGCAGCGACTCTCAGAGCCTGACCCGTCACTGTAAACACAGGATGACACCACGAGTGTAATCAGAGCCAGGAAATGTATTTCTTCCTTGTTAAATTATCATCTTTACATATCAGGATGACACCCCAAACCACCAACAGCTGAACATGGGACAGGTAGGGGGGCAGGAGGCAGCCATGGAGACGTGGGCGCCTGAGCTGCAGGCCTGGCTGCTGGTGACAAGTGCTAACACGGCGTGTGACTCACTCACTGTCTTCATGCCTCAGTTTTCTCCCCAAAATGGCAATGAATCCCTTTTTCATCCTGTAAACTACAAAGTTTATAGATAATTAATTTGCATCAGCTCATCTGCCAGCCAGAAGCACTGGACCAGATAATCCTGATCAATTCCAGCTCTCCGATGCTGTGATCACCAACAACAGCGGCCCACGGACTCGGGTGAACATCTTGAAATACTCATCGAGCTGCAGCTGAAGCAATTACTGGAAGAGATTTCCAAGCTAAGTCACCAATTTATACTGAAAAATCCAAAGCGCTGAAATCGCTTTTTTATTCCATCCTGACATCCTGACTTCCTCAGCATGACCTTGGCTGACAGACGGACCGTCAGTGAAAAGCACCGTTGTTCTGAAAACATTTACAAAAATTATCCAGATGACATAATGGCTTCACACTGGTATTTCAAAAGCAGTTAAACAATCAAGACGTTGTATTTGTAGAATTTCTCTGAATTCTGTGTGGATAGAGTTCATTCTCTGTTGTCCTGAGTCTAAAAACAGGAGGCAAACACCTTGTAAGACTGTTTCCTTCCTGTTTTCTTGTGTGAGAAGGGCTGCATCATCCTTCTTCACCCAGACCCATGTACAGACGCAGCATAAACACCGGTGCTGCGTGTGTGCTCGGCCTCGCCCATGAGCGCATGCGAGCGTTTGTGTGTATGTGTGCATGTGCATACGGCGCTTCACCCGTGGACACATGTGCCCTGTGGGTGTGTGCATGTGCGTACATTCACATGGAGCTGTTAGTCTAATGATAAACCCAGCAGCCCAGAGCATGGCCGTTACCAGATGCTACACTTGTATGGCCTCAGGGTGGGGACACTTCTTTGATTCTCTTCCTTTTAATGAATCGCACCTTTGTGCTGCCATTCAGTTGCTTGAAAGTGTCACTAGATAGAAGCAATACTTCAAAGATGACAACAGACGAAGTCTACTAGGACAAGAAAGAAGCACAGGCTCACATCCAAGTGCTTGATGAGAAAGTTTCCAAAAACCGTCCCTACTTACCCACATCTGCTTCTCAAACACAAACAAGAGTGCCTGTAGCATACACCTGAATTATTTATTTTTATTCCACAATAAACTTGTGAAAAATAGTAATAAATGCTGTCTGGTTGTTTTAGGTTTTGTATTAAAATTTCCAGGTGAGTGGGGCCTTTCGTTCATTATTGGTAGGAGACAAAAAAAAAAAAGATCCTTTTTATCTATAATGCTAGCTTTTCAATAATGATGTGAGTTTTTCCTGACATTTTATTGAACAGTCAGAAATCTGACTCATGAGTAAGGGCTCTTGAAATACAAGTATAGGTTCTGAATCCTTCTTTTAAAATGCTGCACGTTCTTGATGAACTCTTTATAACTTTTTCCGTAATTAGACACAATATTCCTAATATAAAAAATGCTGGTATTTGAATTGTTTTCATAAAAACCCAAGCTCATCAAAGAGCCACTGCGGAACATCTCTGAGTGCCATGTGGCCTGCACAGTAAATCAGCTGTGAGGAGGTTTAATTAAAAAGTGAAAGGAGGAAGCTGGTGAAATTGTGACGCATGGCACAAAACCGAGAGACTGCGGGCCTCGGTCCCCACTCAGTTACGGCGGAGTTCAGCCTGCGCTGAAGGGCGCACACTGTTCCCTTGTGACCTGCCTCCTCCGGAGCAAGCTGTGCACCAGTGCTCCAGAGCTGAGGGTGGGGACAGCGGCCTCGTCTGCTCCGCGTGGGCAGCATGCTACGTGGGGAGGGCAGCTCCGATCGTCTCAGCTGGCCTCTCCTGCCTACAATGGAGCTGGAGCCAGGACAAATGCTGGGCCAGGGGTCGCGGTGCCCTGCGTCCGGGGCACAGCTTCTGCTCTGTGAGTGGGGCCCCCTCGGGGAGGAGAGCCCCAACTCGCTCAGCTGCTCTTGCCTGGAACAGCTCTTCTGCACACACAGCTGGAGGGACGAGAAATGCGGGTGGCCTGCCACTTGCCCCTCCCCAGGAGAGCCTGGAAGCACGGAAGAGGAGCCCGTGTTCTTGGATGTACAACTGGGGCAGAAATGTTGTCCCTGTAAACTGGGGCACACCTCAAAGGCCGCACACTTTCACTGTTCTTACCAACCTTAGTAGATTTTCTTCAGTGGTGTTTCTTCATTTGCTAAATGTC